TCAAAACCTCAGTCTTGCTGCTGCAGTCTAGATCAATTGTATCTTCCTGTATCATTTCCAAAACCTGGACAATGTACAGTGCATTTCAACAGTCCGACCACATGGTGATCCAAGTAGAAGTTATTGTTTTCACATATGGTTCCAACTGCTGCACTGTAGGGCTTGAAAGCACCCCTTCAAGTCATGTTCATATCCAAGAGGACCCCCAGTTGTGAGCCTACACCTACTCCTTTGGGGGGGGGGAATGTAATCCTAGATAAAGTAACTATTGGGATCAATTGTACTGATTGTCCCAATGCTTATTGGTAAAAAGGTATTGATAGAATTTCATCTGAGTTTGTTTCACTTTATCCAGATGTTTAACTTCCAAATTTAGATAGTCCTCGATTTATAACCATTCATTTAATGACAGTTTGAGGGTTACAACAGCATTGAAAAAAGTGACATGGTCAGTTTTCACTCTTACTATTGCAGCATCCCCATGGTCATGTGATCAAAATTTGGGTGCTTGGCAACGGGTGTGTATTTATGACAGTTGCACTGTCCCAAGGTGACGCAATCACCATTTGTAACTTCCCAGATGGTTTCTAACAAGCGAAGTCAATGGGAGAAGACACATTCACTTCACAACCATGATTCATTTAACAATTGCAATGATTCTCTTAACAACTGTGGCAAAAAGGTCATAAAATGTGGTGAAGCTTATTTAATAACTGTCCTACTTAGCAACTGGAATTTGAGGACTACCTACACCAGTTGAAGTTTTTGATTGAAGGCTCAGACTGATGTGGAAATGTGTAATTGAATGTAATCAAAATAATATCTCCCTGGGGCTTCAGACTTCAACATGTTATTGCAGCCCGAGCATGTGGCTCATCAGGACTCGTCTCCGTTGTGCCCACCACTGGTCAACTAAGCTGAACTGCTTCTGCTGCTGGGGAACACTGGAGCCTTCACTGCCGAGCAGCTGATTGGCGGTTGGAATACGGCGAGCGGTGATGGAGGCAAACGGCGACCCCCACCGTCTAGAGCAGCTGATTGACAGTATTCCGGGAAGCCAATCCAACCACCAATCAGCTCAGCAACAAAGGCTTCAGTGTTCTCCAGCAGCAGCAGTAGCAGCTCAGCTCAGTTGATCAGTGGTGGGTGCAAAGGAGATGAGCCCTGACGAGACACGTGCTGGGAATGCGATAACATGCTGAAGCTAACCAGGCTGTTTACTGTTTGCAGCAAGGATGCTAGCGAGATGAATACCAGATGGATGCTGGGAGGCAGATTTTTTTTTCTTGTTTTCCTCCTCTAAAGCTAATGTGCGTCTTATGGTTCAGTGCCTCTTTTATATATATATACACATACATACACATACATACATACATACATACATACACATACACATATACACACACACAGAGACATATATACATACATACATATACATATATATATATATATATACATATATATATATATATATATATATATATATATATATATATATATATATATATATATATATATATA